CAATATGTGTAGTTTGTGGTATGTCAATTGTATCTCAATAAAGCTGTTCAAAATATCTAAGTTGATATACGTTTGCTTGGGGAGTGTTTTTTTTTTTTTTTCACTTCTACAAATCTCATTTATCATACTTTATAGTGGTAAGATATAAGCAACCTACCTGGTGAAGAGAGGGAGAAGGGTGAGGTTCTGGGGCAGCAGGCTTGGCTGTAGCAGGCTCAGCTGGTGAAGGTGAATCTGCAGCGGGCTCAGCTCCAACAGGTGCCTCTGCAGCAGTCTCGGCTGCAACAGGTGCCTCTGCAGCAGTCTCGGCTGCAACAGGTGCCTCTGCAGCAGGCTCCGCTCCAACAGGTGCCTCTGCAGCAGTCTCGGCTGCAACAGGTGCCTCTGCAGCAGGCTCGGCTCCAACAGGTGCCTCTGCAGCAGTCTCGGCTCCAACAGGTGCCTCTGCAGCAGGCTCGGCTCCAACAGGTGCCTCTGCAGCAGTCTCAGCTGCAACAGGTGCCTCTGCAGCGGGCTCAGCTCCAATAAGTGCCTCTGCAGCAGGCTCAGCTGCAACAGGGGCCTCTGCAGCAGGATCAGCTGCTACAGGTGTGGCTGTAGGAGGTGCAGCTGCAGCAGGCTTAGCTGCAATAGGTGGGTAAGCGGGTGCTGCAGGTGCTGAAAAAATCCTTGAAGGAGGGACAAAGGGGAAATCCCTAGGAGGGAGCGGAGGAACATTCAACCGAGTAGCTAAGGGAAAACCAGGGATGTGATAGACATAGCGGAATCCAGGAGCAGTTAGAATCCAGGGATACGGAGGTAACCGGGTGTCAGTGTAAGTATTCCCAGGGTAACTGGGGACTGTATTCACTGGGGGATAGTAAAGAGGAGGTGGCAAATTCCGTATGCCATAAGGAATATTCAGAGATGGATGAAGTGGGTGATGATAGTCATTGTAATCCTAAAGGAGAAACAAGGAAGTCGAAGTTGATTGTATTTGTCCTGTCCATATATTACTTACGGTACAACTGTGATGATATATGATAAGTAATGATATTTTGAAAGAATTCCAATCTCTTCTCTTTCTTAAGGCTACTGTATTTCCATATTTTTGAAGTAAGAAGTAATAATCTCTTAAGAAAATTGAATTAACTCCAACTGAAGAGGAAATATTTTGTGTTTAAGCAAATAAGAGTGTTATAGTCCACAGAATATGCTAACTTAGGCCAGGACAAAGATAGAAGGAAAGCACTCGCACTTTTAGGATTGATAGAGGATTATGAGATTAGTAGCTCCAGGCCTTCTTCTCTGCACCCTCCATTGTCTTTCCCACTGCCCTCAGCACTCTCTGGGTCTCTAAAGTGTCCACAGAAGCCTCTGCTTCATTATTCCTCTTCCAGGTGTCCCATATTCCAGACTTATCTTTCTCAACTTCCTACCTCTCTTTATCAATGCTTCTCTTCCTTTAACACTGTGCATCTTAAATTTTCATTAAGAGGGTCAGCAGATTGGGAGGCCGAGGCAGGAGGATCACGAGGTCAAGAGATCGAGACCATCCTGGCCAACATGGTGAAACTCCGTCTCTACTAAAAATACAAAAAAAGTGACTGGGTGTGGTGGCGGGCACCTGTAGTCCCAGCTACTTGGGAGGCAGAAACAGGAGAATTGCTTGAACCTGGGAGCCAGAGGTTGCAGTGAGCTGAGATCAGGCCACTGCACTCCAGTCTGGCAACAGAGCGAGACTCTGTCTTAAAAAAATAATAATAATAATAAAAAAATAAATAAATAAATAAATAAATAAATAAATAAATAAATGAGACGGTGAGCAGACTGGATGTAGATGTTGTTAATGTTATTGTATATAATATTATTATTATATATAGTAATATACAATACTGAGAAGTTTCCCAATAAATGTAGGTTGTTTCTCAGGGTCTTTGAGATATTTTAAGGTTTTTCTTGATGGAAGTTCTATGATTTATTTTTTAAAGTATAAAATAAGTACCTTCTCTGTGCCGTCTCTGTGCTAGGTATTGGGATCCTACATACTGGAAAAACAGTCAAGGTTTCTTTCTTCTTATGTCTGGGATGCTGCATTCCCCAGCCAGTCAAGCGTCTTAATTAACATTTAATTTTTTTCCAATTTTAGGTAGGTTTCCTGAATTACTGAGTTAAATTTTTCTCACGAGTCATATTGCCAGAGACCCTTGAGGTATGATATACATACATAATTAATGTATGTATGTCCCCAGGTGTTCATAGAGGCAAATATCAATTATTTGTATTGTGGATAATAGAACCCTAGAATTTGCAGACTTAAATATTAACTCATAAGAAATTCAAAATAAGATCTAACACAGTTTCTATTTTAAAACACTATTTTCAAAAGATTTCCACTCCTTTGTTATATGTCTGATCATTGTTGGTCAAAAGTGTGCACATCACAGATTATGTCTCTTGGGCTTTCTTTGCTAGAGTGTCATGTTGATTTATGGCATACTTGTGGATGGGTATAAGTGTAATTTTCTTAGTACTCTTCCATTACCAGAAATTGAGGCACAAGTAACAAAGAACTGAAAAAAAATCTAACGTCAGTTAATCAGTATGTTCTTTGGTCTCATAGGGATAATTTATGGGTATTTCCTGCAGAGAAATCATCTAACTCATTGGGATACATTCGTCCTGCTAGTGGTTCACACCTGAATATATGGCTGGCCCACTACTTCATGCTTTCTTTTGCTCTAACCCTTCATGCAGACAGAGCATCTCCAGATTCATCACTAACTTTGTTCAAGTAAACTTAGGACATATCGATAATGTATTTTAGAGGCATGAGGGGAAAACCTTGTCATAGCAAAAATTTTCTTACGCTGCAAAGGGAGTGCACTTAATGCTTCTGCTCATTAAAAAGACTAAAGACCTTTTGCTAAATATGTTGAGCACAAACACATTCCATAAAATTTTCTATCAAATCAGAAGAGTTTAATAGCACTATTATTTAAAGAGCAATAGCAGTCATTAAATTTCATTGTAAAGGAATCAGAGAGTTTTAAAATGTAAAATATATTTTAAGATAAAAACAAATATACTTGCATGTAAAGAAAAAAGAAAGTTTTACCTCATCGTTGAAGGGGAACCGTCTCTAAAAGAAAGGAAAATATATTTTAATGTGGTTATGTATTTGAAAACATCTGTACCCACATTCCCATATTGCTGAAAAATTTGCAAAGTTTAACAATACTTATAGTTAATTTTCTTGACATTTGAGTCACTGGATTGAATGTTTTTAATAATCATCATCATTATCATTATATGGTTTTGACTTAAACAATTTCCTCAGGGAGTTTTACTTTGGCTGGATGGATTTTGGTTTGTAATATTCAACATGTACATAAATCTTTATTATCTGAAAGATCATTCAGCTCTCATTCATATATCTGATTTTGCTATTCACTTTTTATCTCCCAGGTTTTGTCCGTTGTGTGTGTGTGTGTGTGTGTGTGTGTGTGTGTGTGTGTGTGCGTCTGTGTGGTAAAGAGTGGTCTTTGCGCCGGGCGCGGTGGCTCACGCCTGTAAACCCAGCACTTTGGGAGGCCAACGCGGGCAGATCACAATGTCAGGAAATCGAGACCATCCTGGCTTACAAGGTGAAACCCCGTCTCTACTAAAAATACAAAAAAATTAGCTGGGCTACTTGGGAGGCTGAGGCAGGAGAATGGCGTGAACCCTAAGGCTGAGTTTGCAGTGAGCCGAGATCGCGCCACTGCACTCCAGCTTGGGCGATAGAGCAGAACTCCGTCTCAAAAAAAAAAAAAAAAAAAAAAAGAGTGGTCTTTGCCGCTCATCACAGTACCAGAAGGACCATATATCCATTTGGTTTCCAATGAAGCTTCAATATGGTTTGTGAATTGACCACAGATTATGAACTACAGAATAAAAATAAAAAGCAGTACAGGAAAATCATCATTTGTTATTTTAACAATTGGAGCTTAATTTATCTAATTTTAGGGAACAAAAACAATAGTTTAACATTTGGATGGCATGGTAATAACAATAGTAAATAGTATCATGTAGCAGTTGAGTTTCTACGATACCCGAGGTACTCTGCTAAGCACTTTATATAATTATTTTATAAAATCTTTAAAACAATTTTATGGTGTAGGTGTTATTATTTTCTCCATTTAAAAAAAGATAATATTTAGCATATTCACTGGCTAGGATTAAGAATTTGCATCAGATTTCTCTTACACTAGAATTTCATCTACTTACATTACACTGAAGGCCATTACATTGCACTATATTACTTTACATTCCACTAAAGGTATGATGTGCATTTACTTCTATTCCATCAAGTATCCCTAATGTCTGTACATAAATACCTCCAGCAATGGCACTTCACAGCCATAGGAAGCCCAATCCAGCATTCTATAATTTGAAGAGATAAACTCTGTTAAGATAATCTACATGGGATCCTGCTTTTCTATAATTTTTCTGCCTCCAGCCTCCTACATTTCCAAACTCACCTCCTTTCCTTGCTGTTTATCTATTTTCAGATATTACAACTTTATTATTTTAATTTCTAAATTTTCCTTTGAAAAGTCTGACACTACAAACCTCATGTCCATCTATGTCTTTTTGCTGCTTTATTATAAACATTATAGTAACTTTATCATAAGCACAAATCCCTATCAACAATTATCTAATGGTTATACAATTGTTACAATTTTGGAAGTCCATTTACTTACCTTCCTTGCAAAAGCAGCACATACAATGCAGGCCCAAAGGAGAAGCTTCATTTTGATTGACCCTATGAATATTAATACTATAAATTTATTGTTTTAGAAAATATGCACTATATTTTTAAATTATGTTTTTCTTCTTTTAGAGAGAAACAAAAGAATACATTGCTTTTTCAGTCTGTCTAGGAAAACCCTTAACAGAATAGTTGGCCCTGCTATTTAACTATTGTCTGTATGACTTAACATGAATATCACTAAAGCCAAAATATATATATATATTAGCAGATACCGTTCAACAGTTAATTGACTTCTAACTAAAATGTCTGAAAGTAAATGTCAACTCATTTAGCTCCCCAGGGACACATTTTGCAATTAATTTATCTTGGAGATCTCACCAGGAAATAAAATTGCTTAAATGTCACCATTCTATGGGTGCTTCTTCATATTTTGTTTTTATGAATTCAGTGGGAGATTGGTATCACCTACTTAGAAAAATTTGTAATCTTAAACTTGATCATAATTTTTTTTCTCTATTTCTGAAGAATAGTGGAGAAGCCATATTCTCAGGTGTGTCTTAATTAGGCTCAATTTTGCTCAAAGAACTTAAAACCATTCTCCAACGGATTGATTATTAAAGTTATGGCTTCTTCTTCAAAAACAAAATAGCTCCACTTGTACCAAAAAATTGCATATACAAGGACACTTATAGCATTATTTAGAATTTCATAATATGAAAAATATAAAATCCCAACAAGAAGTTTTATTAAGAATAATAATATTAGGTTCATGATATATTGCTAAGTGAATATTTAAATGTTAAATATTGCAAAGATAAGCCATAAAGAGAATAAAATCATGTCCTTTTCAGTAACATGAATACAGTTGGTGGCCATTGTCATAAGTAAATTAATAATGCAGGAACAGAAAACCAAATATTCGTGTTCTCCCTTATAAATGGGAGCTAAACATTAAGTACATCTGGACATAAAGATGGCAACATGAGAGACTGGGGAATACTAGTGGGGGGAGGGAGGAGAGGAAGTGGGCTGAAAAACTACCTGTTGAGTACTATGCTCAATACCTGGGTGAAGGGATGCATCCTTACCCCAAACCTCAGCATCATGCAATATACCTGTGTAACAAACCTGCACATGTAGCCCGTGAATCCAAAATAGAAGTTAAAATTATAAAACAAATAAATAAATACAACTAAATAACTAAAACAGCAAATAGACACAAGAATAATATTCCTCCTCTAGAGACTTGTAGCACTGTAAAAAGAGCACCAACTTTATATACGACAGAAAACTAATTTAAAATAAAAAATTGTGTAGTAGATAAGAACATAATTATTGGTAAAATATTTAATGAGTTATTATGAATTAGAAGATGACTTTGTTTTTATACTTATTTTTATATTTTTCTTTTATTTTCTGTAATCTATTTTTTGTGAAGTGAGAATGTATTGCTTATATGCTATGCATTTTCTAATAATATAATGAACTTCCAAGTTTTTTTTTTTTGATAAGATTGTGGATGCTTTCATAATCCTTGTCAAAATCTAGGCTGGAAAAAAATCATCATATTTCTCAAAACATATTTTTAATGTTGGCTAAGCTGCTTACCTGTTCAACATAGTTTTGACCACACACTGAGTGGCCTTTACTCTAGTGATCTTTGGTATTGTACATCAGGTTTTCACTGACACACAATTTGATAAAAAGTGTTTCATTATCCTTTTCCTTATTTTTTTCTTGAAATAGCATGTTAAGTAAGAGACACTTACTTGACCCTATTTTTCAGTTCTTCGGAAGCACATGAGGCTTTATGAATGGAACTGATCTGTTTTTTCTAGGGTTTATGTGAACTCTTGAGTCCAGTCTGAGTGTAGGGAAAACAAATTTCTTTGCTAAGTCTCGCTTCATACAGTGTTAAAATGAGAACTCAGGTGTGAGGCGGACTAGATTTATACAGACTAGATTGTGTCATCAATCTCTGCAAATTATGAAAGAATGTAAATATGCCATGTATTTACAAGTATACTATTAAAGTCCATCTGACCGAAATCTGGTAGAGGAGTTTTTAAAATGGGAACATCTTAACATAAAAAAAAAAAAAAAAAAGGATACTTTGTTTCCAGGGTGCAAACTAGTGGATGTAGCTCCTGGTTTTGATGTGGACAATGTGCCTCACTCCCTTTCTTTCCAGGGATATTTATAAGTTCCTAATTCAATGTTTACTCTTTCATTTTGAAACAAATTAGCATTGACTCTGACAAAAATAATTTAAAAACCTACGAATTTGATTGATTTGGCTGTGAATTACTTCCTTCATTTCAGAGAACCATAAAAATAGGGAAGTTTTTCCCATAAAATGACAGTAAAAGACAAATTTAGGAACTACATTAAGCTTAATTCCTAAATTCACTTTGCAAATATTCATTACTTGACTTAATTTTGGCATCAATTAGATATTATGATGAAGAAAGTTTATGCTTTACTTCATTTTATGTTAAGAATGTAATAGAATAATAGCATAAATTTTTTAAAACAATGGTGTGGTTTCTCTTCCTGTAATAGCATTATAAACATAAATTAACTAATGTAAATAAATATTAGAAGCTCAAAGAGCCCTTCTATCCTGTGAATTTATTATTGATAACCTAACAGCACTAGTATCATGTTATATCAAAGAATAAATGAGGCATACTAATGATTGTCAGTGCACACGTCTTACATCAGAGTAATGTGAAGTAATTTAGCTTGATTCTTAGGTCATATACTAGGTTCAGTGTTGTTTGTCAGGAGTGACAAAATCCTTTTGTTTAAGTGTTTAGTTTCCTCTCTTGTGGACTAGATTAACACAATCCCCTGTACTAAGGCCGTCGTAGAAAGAAAGTGGGCTCATGTTTATCTAATGACTATACCGTAAATCAGGCATTCAATAAAAAATTACAAGACACACAGAAAAGTATAAACAAGGTCTGAAGATTTTTTAAAAAAACAATAATCAGAATAAGAGTCAGTTGTTACACAGATGTTGAAACTCTTGAGCAGGGGATTTAAAATAACTTTGATTATTATACTAAATATTCTGATGATAAAGATAGACAAGATTCAAGATCACATAGATAAATTCAGCACAGAGAAGGAAACTGCAACAAAGAATAACTAGAAATGCTATAAAAAATTTACTAACAGAGAAAAAGAATTCATTTGACTGGCAAATCGATAGACTTGACACAACCTAGGAAAGGATTCGAGACCCTGAGGATATGTCGTAGATCTAACATTTGTAATCCTAGGAGAAAAAATAGCAAAGCAGAAAATGTTTAAAGAAATAGTGGTCAAAAACTTTCCAAAAATATAGACAGAAACCAAAAGCATAGATAGAAGACACTCTGAGAACACCAGGAATAAATTATACACACACACGCACACACACAGCATATTTTATTGAAACTGCTGGGAACTAAAGACAAACAAAAATTCTTGAAGACAGCAACAGAAAAAAATGACTGATTATCTACAGAAAAATAAGGATAAGAATTACAGTAAATTTTTTGTCAGAAATCATGCAAGAAAGAGGAAAATAATAAAATCTTAAACGTAATGAAATACTACTGTCAACACATAATTCTAGGTCCAGGAAATATATTCCTCAAAAGTGAAGGAGAAATATTTTCTCAGACAAAAATGGAGGGAGTAAACCAGTAAGAAAAAAAAAAATGATTTGAACAACACTATCAACCAATTTGATCTAACTGACTTTCATAGATCACTCTACTGAACTACAATAGAATACACATTCTTCTCAAAATCACACGGAACACATGCCAAGATAGACCATATTTAGGCCCATAAAACACACCTGAACACATTTTTAAACATAGAAATAATAAGTGTTTTGTCAGTCCAATGTAATTAAGTTAGACATCAATAACAGAAATATATCTTAAAAATTACAAAATATGAGGAAATTAAGCATCATACTTTTAGATGACCTATAAGTCAAAGAGGATGTCTCAAGGAAATTAGAAAATATTATTATTTTTGCTGTTACAACATCCAGTCAAGATGATGTTTCCTGAAGTGTCCTAGCTCTCTCCTTTACTCCTACCCTCATTGGTAAGGCTATGCCATATATTTATATATACTGTTGGATTCATTTGTCACAGGCTGTATTCCATCTTAGGTTTCTGCAACATCTTGGTTTACTTCTATTTTTAATTTGCAATTAGCAGTATTCACTCTTAAAGCTTAAGCCTTCTACGTGTTTTGGCAAATGTATGTAGTCATATATTCACCACTACTTTATCATATGTAAGGGTTCCATCATGCTAACATTTTCCATGTATTGACCCTCTGTAGTAAAAAACAAACAAACAAACGAAAAACTAACAACGTCTTTCCTTTCCATCAACTCTAGCAACCGCTTAGTAGGTTTTCATTCCCATAGTTTTGCCTTTTTTTCTATTTTCTCCTTATATTCATTCCTTTCTTTGTTTTTTTCTTTTTTCCCTTCCCTCCCTTCCTTATTTTTTTTCTTGTTTTCTTCTTTTAGTCATTTAAATGATAGTTAGTGAGTACTGTTATAGACAAGGAAATATATGAGAAATGCAACCCAGCAGATAATAAGTATTAGGTTGGTGCAAAAGTAATTGCAGTTTTTGCCATTAAAAGTAATCATATAGTGACATCATTAATATAAAGCATTTGTAATGTAAAGCTCCAAAGGCACTATGGTTTTGTAAATGAAGAAGTTGAAAACCTGTGTTTAAACTTAATTGATCCCCTATTTGAGAATGAAATACTAAAAAACAGGTATTGTTAAACTCATTATTTTATGATTAACAGGATAGGAAATCAGTAGATTATGTTCGACAGTTGAAAAAGAACAGATGATAAGCATATGAGTAACTTCTTTTGTTAGACACAATCTCTCAGTCCACAAACGGTAAGTGATTTTAGAAGACCGATGAACCAGAACGTGTCCTGCTTATTTGTAGTCAGGGAAATAGGGTGCCTTTTCATCCATGACGGACTGCTATGCTCTTGAAAATGTCAAGGAATTTAATTTACAAGAGAAACATTCTGCAAAGATATGTTACTAAATATGTTGCCATAAGTATGCAACTCATTGGCAAATTTTTATAACGTGTTTTTGTTTTAATATTTTCCTAATCTCCTTCAATTACAGGTAAAATCTTTAGTCATCTTTCTATACCAATGTGATAAACTTGAATCTGAAGAGTCTTTGGCAAATTGTGAATGTTTGTGTTCTAATGGCAAAAAGGAGCTGTAATAAATGCTATGTTCTAGTTTAATTTATGAAAACAAACTATTAGGCCTAAAATATATGGAATAACTTGAGAATTCATCTGAATATCAGATAATGTTTTGAGTACTGGATATTCAAAGTGGAAACAATGCTCACATTTGTTAAAAATAATAATGTGATAATAAAATAATATTCTATTTAATAATATAATAATAATGGTTACATTGATAATAGGAAATTTAATAGTAATGTTAATTGAGACAAATATGTAAATTACACTGCACGTAGCTGCTTATTTAATTATAGGCATTAAAATCATCACTATTACTTTTGCTACAATGAACATTATCAAAAAGGATGAATCACAGAGGAACTTCTAAAAAACGTCAAAAGAGCCATTAGCTTTGAACTAAAAGAAGGTCATACATCCTTTAAAACTTGAGTGAATTAAAGTTATGTTCAGATTTAGATAAAATTATTGATGTGTCCTACTAAGAAGTGGATAGTGTTTATGCTCAATGGACTCAGTGTTGTCTATGAAGTAGAAAGGAAAATTGTTTCTGGTAAGATAAGTTTGAAGTTTAGGGAGAGTTGAAGGCAGTTAACACTAATGTCAACAAGAGTTTGATAAGATGTCTTTGGTTACCAACACAGTTTAAAAAACATAAACTTACTTTAAAATTCATCTGTTTTGTGGAATGGCAGTAGAAATCAAATTCGGAGTTTTGTGTGGTTGCGTGTTTTCCTGGTAGGGTTGGCTAAGTGTAGGGGGGGCAGAAAAATTACATGAGCTATCAAGATAATATTTAACATAATCAAGCATGAAGTCTGGGCTGTGTAAGAAAGGAAGTGAGACCAACGGAGAGTAGAAACAATGAAATGTAATCAGGATTTTAGTGGATGGGAATGAAGTGAATGGATTCTATGAAGACAAAGAAAAATTCTCTTAACTTCTACTTATATCACCTTTTCAAAATATATGTCATATGTCAACTGAAAATCCCTTAAATGTTCAGTTGAATAAGAAAGGAAGTAATGCTAAGAGGAATTGGATAGAAAGGAATACAATGGGAATTATAAAGGATTGATGTATTCTATGGGGTCAAAGATAAAGTCTTCAAAATTTAAAGTTTTTCACTCATCGATGACATATATCATATAATGTTACTCCCCAATGGAAACTCCTGTAATGTATTCCCATTACAACCAAATGCTTAACAAATAACTTTCATCCCTATCCCCTCCTTCCTGATCTGCTTTCCTTATAGCTTTCCCCATCCCTCCATCTTCTCAGGATGTGTTGACTCTCTTGGAGCCCAAGTATGCCTCAGAGCCCATGTTTGCACCCGTGTGTTTGCTTTTGCTCTTTCTTCATTTGGTGACACTATTAATGAGGAGTCTTGAGAGGTTTATAGTCTTAGCGGCTGACTCCATACTTTAGTCTGACAGGGTGGACTGAGAGAGGAGGACTGAGGGCTCTGGTGAAGGTTTGAGGTTAAAATTGTGCCAAATAATAAGCATGAATAAATCAGAAAGATGGTAGAATGATGGCTAAATAGTTCTGTGAGCCAAGCCGTGGTGGGAGAACATAAAACTTGTAGTGTTCTATGTTATTGGTTATGATAAATAAAATTGAAGCTTCCAGAAAGTGTGTATAAAGCATTTTGGTGGTAGACAAGCTAGTTTAAAGTTAAGTTAAATAACTGCTTATATTAGCATCAATAGCCTCGGTGGTCAATATGAACAATAAAAATGCTGATTATACACCAATGAATCACTTGAAATTTTATTTTGAGGGGAAAAGAAATGTGTTTTTGTAACTCAGAAACAGTGGTAAAAACATCTTAAGTAGTCATCAACCTAATGAAACCACAATGCAAACCCAACATATTCAACATGAACTCATGGGAAGGGTGTACTCAATTCAGGAAATACTCTGCAGTCTTCTTTGACTCAGTATTCCTGTTTTCACAATAAGCCTGTCCAAACATGCTGGTAGTATGAAGTAATATGGTAGAGAACTGTGAAAGGTAGATTTTCCAGGCAAACCTAAAAAGAAAAAAGTAAAAAAAAAAAAAAAAAAAAAAAAAAAAAAAAAAAAAAAAGCAATACTGGACTTATATATTACAGAAGATAGTTTTTGTTTATGTATACACACACACTTGTCCATCTTAGTCTGACAGAATGTTATTTATAACTATTATGAGTTAACATTTTCTCATGCTTAAGATAATTCATGGCACATAATATGATTTTTAATAACTGTCTGTGTTTCTGCTTGATAGAGTCAATACAGTCTATGAGGTAGAAGGAGAAATTGTTTCCTGGTGAGATAAAGTTAAAAAGTTTAATGAATAAGTTAATAGCAAGCTTATTCGATCTAGCATGCAAAAATAGCATTGTTATTTATTAATGGTACATATGTATATTTTCAGCCAATTTTAAAGGAACATTTTAATCTTATTTTCTAAGTTGCTTATTAGGCATATAAGATATTACTGCTTCCTATAATTTAAGCCTTTTGATCTAATTGGAATGTAGATTTTGGTAAAATAAAGTTTTATGTACAATGACTTTGGGGTCATATTTCAATAAATCATTTTAAAATTAAATTCTTCAAATTACACTGTACTTTTTTGGCTTCTCTGTTTCTTTTGTAATTTTTCTATCAATTCAATACCTTCTGCCTCTATTTCATCTCTGATTCATCACTTGAACTTGTTGTATTATTTTATCCTATCTCTAATTAGCAGTTAGACATTGTATTGTCATTTCTGTGTCTTTGTCAAAAAGGGCTTTAATGAAGGTAAATTTGGTATCATAATTCTGTATCTCTCAGGTCTCTCACATCATGGGACATATGATAAGCTTTTTAAAAAATGTAGAATAAGGCCGGGCGCTGTGGCTTATGCCTGTAATCCCAACACTTTGGAGGCCAAGACGGGTGGAACACCTGAGGTCAGGAGTTCAAAACCAGCCTAGCCAACAGGTTGAAACCCTGTCTATACCAAAAACAAAACAAAACAAAACAAAACAAAAAAACAACTAGCAGGGCATGGTGGCGGGTGCCTGTAATCTGAGCTATTTTGGATGCTGATACAGGAGAATTGCTTGAACCCGGGAGGCGAAGTTGTAGTGAGCCGAGATCACGCCATTTCACTCCAGCCTGGGTGACAAGAGTGAAACTCCGTCTCGGAAAAAAAAAAAAGTGGAATAAGTATGTGAATAATGACAGTAAGAAATATTACTATTTATAAAACACAACTGTATTTTTAACTCTTATCCAGAACAATTATGGTATTATTTTTGTACACATGAGATTACTTTGTGAAGCTGCCTGACACTTTTTCATTATCAGGAAGGCCAAAATAACATAATAAAGAAAATCAAGTTTGTACAATGTACTCAAAGTCAGAAAATATCCTCTCAAAAAAACCTTAACGTGGCCTTTTGGGTGCAGTTCGGCATTGGTAGTAGAGCATTTGAGTCCTAGGGCTGGAAATCTGTATTCGATTTTTTTGGGCTTTTTTATTTTCTCAGGATTATCATGAACAATTTATTTAACCTCCATTCCGCCTCAGGTTCTTCATCTCAAATCAATTGATACTTTGATTATGGCCATTCTTTCAGGAATAAGGTGGCATTGCATTGTGATTTGGATTTGCATTTCCTTGATCATTAGTGACGTTGAGCATTTTTTCATGTTTGTTGGCCATTTGTTTATCTTCTTTCTAGAACTATCTAGCCATGTCCTTAGCCCACTTTTTGATGGGATTGTCTGTTTTTTTCTTACTGGTTTGTTTGATTTCGTTGTAGGTTCTGGATGTTAGTCTTTTGTTGGATGTATAGATTTGAAGATTTTCTCCCACTCTGTGGGTTGTCTGTTTACTCTGCTGACTGTTCCTTTTGCCGTGCAAAAGCTCCTTAGTTTAATCAGGTCCCAGCTACTTATCTTTGTTTTTATTGCATTTGCTTTTGGGTTTTTGGTCATGAAATCCTTGCCTAAGCCAATGTCTAGAAGGGTTTTTTCCCAATTTTCCAGAATTTTTATAGTTTCAGGTCTTTGGTTTAAGTCCTTAATCCATCTTGAGTTCATTTTTGTGTAAGGTGAGAGATGAGGATCAAATTTCATTCTCTCACATGTGGCCAGCCAATTATACCAGCACCATTTGTTGAAAAGCGTGTCCTTTCCCCACTTTATGTTTTCATTTGCTAATCAAAGAATCAAAAACAGTAGATATTGGCATAGATGTGGTGATCAGGAAACACTTATACACGCTGGTGGGAATGTAAACCAGTACAGCCACTATGGAAAACAGTGTGGAGATTCCTTCAAGAACTAAAAGTAGAGCTACCATTTGATCCAGCAATCCCACTACTGGGTATCTATCTAGAGGAAAAGAAGTCATTATTAGAAAAAGATACTTGCATACACATGTTTATAGCAGCACAATTCACAATTGCAAAACCCTGGAACCAACCCAAATGCCCATCAATCAATGAGTGGATAAAGAAATTGTGGTATGTATATACAATGGAATACTACTCAACCACAAAAAAGGAATGAATTAACTGCATTTTCAAGGACGTGGATGAGATTGGAGACTATTATTCTCTGTGAAGTAACTCGGGAATGGAAAACCAAACATCATATATTCTCACTGATATGTGGGAGCTAATCTATGAGGACACAAAGCCCTAAGAATGATACAACGGACTTTGGGGACTTGAGGGGAAGAGTGAGGTGGGGGGGATAAAAGACAACAAATACAGTGCAATGTATACTGCTCGGCTGATGCGTGCACCAGGATCTCACAAATCACCACTAAAGAACTTACTCGTGTAACCAAATACCACCTGTACCCCAATAACTTATGGAAAAAAATCAGCTGATAGTATTAACTACTTGATAGGTTTTTTGTGAACGTTAAATTAGTCAATATAGGCAAAGGCTTAGAATTGTAACTGGTGCACTATATGACCTCGATAAGTTATTATTACTATTATTATTTATTGTTTTGAAACCTACTTTGTCATGGTAGAAATTTGTGTTCAGGACACATAAAAAGAACAAAGCATTTAAATTAAATGAGACAGAATTCTAGGATAGGAGATAAACCTGAATGCTGCAAGAGCAAAATAAGAAAAATAAAACATGACTGCACAAAGGGCATTGTAATTTTCTTGAGTTGCCATCATGGCTCTAAAGCCAAAATTCTCAAAGAAAGAAATTTAAAAAATAAGCAAAGATTTTTGTATAAAACATTAATTTTTCCAGAGAAAATGATGCAGGAAATTTGTCTTAAATGGCTTGACTTGTGTATGAAACTCTCTTGATATTGCATATCTTTTCTCAAACCAAAGTGCCAGGTCTGAATTTCTTGGCACAACTCAAAGATGACAGGAAATCATCTGTGTGAATACTATGCCTGTGACAATTTTCACTCAGAGCCATTGCTTCTGGCTGAATGTATCATTAGCTATGGAGGAAATGTACTAAAATTTATATTTCAAATATTTATGAAATATGCATGCAAATTACCCAGACAACTTACATTTGTGAGTCAAAAAGATGAAAGCAAAATTTAAAATACTTTATAAACCAAAATATGATTTAATTAAAGTTGAAAGTATATTACTTAATAATGTTATTTAATATCACTTTCTTCACATAAAAGTTATTGCTTAAATTCTAGGCCTAAAGGCACTTACCAAAGTAAAGTAGAAGCAGTGAATTCAAGAATCTTAAAAATCCCTCTTTGAAGAGAAAAGACAAAAAATTGAAGAATTTTATTTAAAAAAATGTACAGGAACAAATCTCCGTCTCATATGCAAATCATAGGTACTAAATTCTGATTTTTCTCAAATTATATGGAAGAAATTTTTAAATGCTACATGCATATCTAAAAAACTAAATCGTATTTAAAAATATCCAGAGAAATGATGTGACTTGCCTAAGTTCAAAAGCCTATTTATATTAGGTCTCCCGATTCTAAAACCCATGTTGTTTATAATACATTTTAGTTCTCTGGGTTCAATGTCCTGTTCTCTCATTCATTCTTCATGTCAGAAGAAATGTTTCCTAGGTCAAATGTCTTTTTTTTTTTTTGAAAAAAAAAATAAGATAAAGGATAAACGTTAACTAGCACTTGGTCCAGCTACTTTTTACAATTTCAGATACTTTTGTAACATTATTTTTATTTATTAGGCTGTATTTGCATTATGACTTATTATTTGATTTCTAGCTTAGACATTTTTATTTGTTTCAGCTTCTACTTGAGTTTATTGGAATTATGTCAATTTCATGCCCCCAGCTTACTTTTAGCATAAAAGATAACAATTTTTAAGTTGCAAATAAAAAGAGAGCACTCACCAGAGCAGGGATAACTTGGTAAGCATTTGTCTTCATGTTTTTCCATGGTTCCACAATTTTGCGATATTGATATTTTACATATTGGGGCAAGGCAAACTGATAATATTGGTTGATTTTTTTCTAGAGAAAATATATAAATAATTATCTCAATGTCCCATGAATCAGAGAGACCTGAACATAACCAAATGAAGCAAAACTTTATTTGGATAAATTCTACATTTTACCAAATGAATCTAATTAAAGGAAAATTGATTCATACAAAATTAACTCTATGCTTACATTTATCGAATTAACTGTAGGAATAAGAAAATTCTTTGCTTAATTCAGACCCCAAAGCCACAGTGCTTGAGTGAAAGAAATCAAAAACAAGGAAAAATAAAATTAAAAATACATGTAAAAAGGCAAGAAGATAATTTCTTGACCAAGATAAGTGTTCCCAGTTGTGGTTTATTTTCTATTTCTGGTAGGAAAACCCTGGTCCTCAGAGTCATATAGAATGTGTGATTTAACTTAGTGGAACCTATGACACTGAGCCAGTTAATCTCTCTGAGTATTATTTGTCTTGCAGAAGTAAAAGAATTAATACGGAAAGAGTACTTTGTTAGCATAATGCCTCACATATATTTTATTATGAGTACATATTTCCCTCTTCTATGTTCTATTTATCTATATAGATTTAGCCACAGATTGTTGTAGGGATTTAAGTTGGAATTAAATACAGTGGCATCTTCTTTTAGGCTAAGTTCTCATTTTTACAAAGTGGAAAATCAATGGAATTTTAGAATTGCCATGGAATAATTGTTGGGTGGATACTTAGCAATAATGTAAGTGGTACAGTTGGCGAGTGCTTCTGTAACCAATTTTAAAAGTATAAGAAGACTTTTATACAAATTAGAACTTGGTAAACATATATATATATATTTTTTTTGGTCAAGAGGATTGCAATTTGGCAGTTTCCAAGTAAAATCTAATCGTGCTACGATTGTATGGAAAATTTACCAGATGGTTTTGGTAATTCTTTGCTTCTTCAGTCAGCTCAGTTTTCTGTTAATAACAAGAATAACTGGCCATAACATACAAAAGAAAATGTTTTGAGATTATATTTTATTAATTTTGTTTGAACAAAACTTACTTACGTCGGTGAATACTTCAGTTGATTCCTTAGGGAAAGAAAATGAATAAATAACTTCACTTGGATAACCCAATAGTAATTTTTGTCCATATCATAATAATATAGAATTAGGGCTAATTATTTTAATAATTCAGGGTCAAGCTGTTACTACCAAGAAACACAGTCCTACTTTATAGAAATCTGTTCTGAATTAAATTAATGTAAGTATACATTAAAAGGACATCTCCTGTGTCAACATAATGGTACCTGACTGAAAATACATTTTATTTCATATTTTCCATTTACCTACATTGTTCATATAATGTCAAATTTCCATGTAATTTGGGCAGATGCAAAAGAGAGAGAGAGAGAAAGAGAGAGAGGAAAAATAATTAAGCCTACTGAGGTGTGTGGCAAAATCTGCATGTTCTTTCTTGGAGGACCAATGTTTTTTAGATTAGTGTCCATAGGCCCACAGTTTGACGTGGAGAGAAAGGGTAAAGCATGTTTCCCAAGGCACTAAGAAGGAAGATATTGCTTGCTTTGGGCCCCAGGCCACAAGATCCTGTGCCACAATTCATACTTCATCTTCTCAAGACCCTTTCCAACCGTCCTCTCTCACTTAGCGCTTTCTCTCACAGCAGGTGTTCCCTGAACCTGTGATTTACATAACTTGTAACCCAGTCCAGTATTCAACTCTTAAACGATATTAAACTATAGTGAAGGCAACTGACAGAATCCTGATTTGACTGTCTTATTTTAAAAATTCATTTTTTCTAATGTAACAGAGGTCAGACATATATTATCTGAAAGTGTGTGATAGAACAGCTACTCTTGACCGTGTAGATGGTTCATTCCAGACCTCTAACATGACTTGGAGTCTGTGTATGTTTTACAAGGGTTTTCCTTTGTTTCCATTCGATATGTCAATAGCATAACACCTAATTTTCTTAAAATAATCAGTCAACAGCAAGACACAGAGTATTTCTCAATGAACTGGTTAATTGTTTGATTTTTAAATTATCATTTTCCTCCCTAGAGATAACCTACTAGAACATTATTTGAGAAATAAAAAGTCTAATAATCAAAATTTTAGAATCAGGGCAATTAAATACTTAGCAATATATTCTTAATATTTGTGGACAAAAGATCTTTTTTATATTACAGCAAAGGTATTATTATGATAGGTGAAAAAGACTAATTGCAATAAAATTTTCAGTTCAAAAAATGGTAGAAATCTGTTTTTTAAAAAAAGAAAGCAGCAGCAAAAAACATAGAATACTTAGGCTATGTGGAGAACTCTTGCTAACATGGAAGATCTTGACTGAAAAAAATTTAGGTCAATTGAGAAAATCACAGTTAAGGAGTAAAGAGGATTTTTATGTAAACTAAAATATTACTCAATTTTATTAAAAGAGGAGAATTTCAGGAGTATTAATATTTTAATGTTTAGTTTTTAGAAATATGAATCAAATACAGCTTCATATAGAAACAATACTTTACCATATTAACAGTCTTTTTTGGTGTTTCCTTAAAGGAAGAAAACAAGAATTAGACACATTGTTCTCAGTGTATTGATTATACATAATTTCCTCCTGGATGTACGGAGAAAAACTACTCTTTTGTAAAGAAGAAAAATAAAAATAAATTTATTTGTAATGCTTCTTTTAATCACTTTTTTTTAATCTCTAAGATCTGGAAACATGTAAGGGACATGGTATTTGCTAAATACAATATTTCTTAAATAAATAATAATTGAATGAATGAATTTTTCGTAAGAGTAATTTAGGAAGCACATACTTTTAGGCAACTCATTTAAATGATTTTGATAATTGCATGTTTATTTAAAACATATATATAATCAAACTTGTGAGTTAAGTATATATAACGTTTCTTTTATTTTTATTTGTATTTTTTAAATTTTTGAGACAGAGTCTCTCTCTTGTCGCCCAGGCTGGAGTGCAATCATACTCTCTTGGCTCACTTCTACCTCCGCCTCCTGGGTTCAAGTGATTCTCCTGCTTCAGCCTCCCTAGTAGTTTGGATTACAGGCACCCGCCACCATACCTGGCTACTTTTTGTATTTTTTTTAGTAGAGATGGGGTTTCACCATATTGGCCAGGCTAGTCTCAAACTCCTGACCTCAGGTGATCCACCTGCCTTGGCCTCCCAAAGTGTGTGAGCCACCGTGCCCGGCCTAACATTTCTTATTATTAGCAATAACAAGTTTTGAAAAAGCATAATTTCAGGAAAAAATATTATATAAATAATAGCTTGGCTAGAGAACAGGTAAGGGGAAAAAACAAATTGGCAAGTTTAAAAGTTTACAAGAATGAAAACTTACAGGAAAGCAAAAAACTAATTTAGAAGATTCCCTTCCCAGAGAGGATCTGGATTCGGAGAAGCAATGCCCTTCAGAGGATCATTAGCAACAAATCTGGATGCTGATCTCTCTTTCCCCCCCTCCTTCGTGAAATTCCCTCTTTGTCCAAGGCTAGGGCGAGGGCTGTCTCAGATACCCTGCTGCTGCTTTACTGACCACAGGCAAGATTTCTTTTTAGGGCCTGACCTCCTCCTTGCTTCTTACCTCAGTCTCAAGTCTGACTTATTTTTTACTCTGTGTCACAATGAATACCTTCAGAAGCGGAAAAATCTCTTCAATTGCCTCTGTAACAAACTCAGAAAACTATCCAAGATGAAAAATCATACTATGGAGATCTTGCCAGGTTATAAACTAAATCTATCAGCTATCTATCAACCTCCCAGGTTGGCATTGTCTGATGGGGTGGTCTTGGGTTGTCACTGCTCCCATTGAGGTCTGCCTGGAGCAGAAGTCTCTTTCTGTTCTCTCTTGCCTAATGCCCATGAATGAGTTTCTAAAACTGCTTCAAGATCTAGAAGAGTGTTGCATCAGAAATGCCAACCACTCGGTCAAAAAGCTACTGTAAATTCCTATTTATTAGTGGCTGGAAAAAATTTTAGTTCACCTCAAAGAAAAATGGTTTGAAAATATCTACCAAAACTAAAAATAAATATACTAAACCTAAATAACTCAAATGCCTTCTAATTACAGGGCACTAGAGGACTGAATTGTGGAATATCATCAGCAGTGTAAATAGGTAGATTATACCTGCAAGTGACAATATGGATGAATGTGCTAGAAGTCTATTGAGGGAAAAATGCAACACCAAGGAGGCTACATAAAGTATGATACTCTTTGTAAATCTCAAAAACAAACCAAACTACACACAGAGAGAAACTACTTTGAAATTCAGGGTATGTATGCTTTTCAAAAGAAATGAAGCCCAATCTAAACGCTAGTATGAGTTACTTGAAGGAGATTTTCAACAGGAAATAAGGCCCTTAGGATCTTTCTGATATCATCTTGTCATATTCAGAGTCTAATGTTGACTATGAGAACTTACTGTGTGGTAAAAGCAATTTATTACTTAATATATTAACTTTATTAAAAGTAATGTTATTGTCTAAAATGAATGTTCTAAAGAGAAATAAACACAAGCAAAACAAAATCGTGTTTAGGATCATATATGTATGAAATAAAACTGTTATAAAATATAGAACTATAAGTATTAATTACAATACTCATAATTTATAGTGACATATGTGTTACTTATTAATTTGTGGTATTAAAGTTTGTGACAAAAATATTATACAAATTTCATGTACATATCCTCTAACCCCAAAATTTCACTTTTAGGAATGTATTGTATTAATGTATTCGTATATGTATAAAATAAATTATTATAAGAATATTGTTTTTCTAATTAAAAAATAGAAACAACATTTATCATTAGGAAACTAATGAAGATGTATCAATGAAGATGTACACAGTGAAATTAACTGAAACAATTTTAACAAAGAATGAAAACTACTAACTGATTAGGCTTCCATTTCTCATGGGAACTGACAAATTTAGTTTGGTTAGTTGATTCATGCAAGTGTAAACCTCCTTTACTTGATTATTCATAAAATTATGACAAAAGTAGTTGTTTGTTTTCATTATCACCGGTTTCCTATGTTTTCAGTTTTTCGGTGATCATCAATATTATAACATAAGGGAAAAATCGGCTTAAATATGTATTCAAAGAATGATATATAAACTTATGCATATAGATGCATATACTCTCACATGCACATCATCTGCTATGCCTCCATATTACTGGCAAAAGTGTAAAATATCTTAATTCTGATAGTGAGGATATGTCTCAGTAAGTGTTTTTAAATTTTTGTGCGTTCAAACATCCCTATAAAACTTAGATAAATTCAATAATTCTTCCTTTAAGAAAAATGCAGATGTTTACAAAACAGTGAAATTTTCCTATTTCCTATTTATAAAACTCTCCATTAGTCTCAAATTAAGATCTACTACTTTCCCTTAGAAGTTATAGGCTAATATGAAAACGGAAACTAGCTTTCCTATATCAATGGAGTAAAAAGGAAGGGAGGTAGAGCAAGATGATGTCAAGTTTGGTGTCTGTTCATTGGTATAGGAAGACTGTCCCAGGTCTTTTAACCAATTAATTCTGCAGGGCTTCCCTATATAAATAGCAGAATCTTTATGCCAAACTAAAACTGTCATGTTTTTTATATACAGAATATTTTTAATTTATATTCTAACAATGAAATAATAATCTATATTAGCAATGACAAATTTAAGTTAATATAGTAAATAAATTTAAAGAATACAGAAAATCTTGTTATTTATTAAATGAGTTGATATTATATACTGTTTCCAAATATGCTTGACTATTGGTTTTTCTCAAATACACTGTCATTAAATTGTTTTATCTTTTAGGTTTTAGAATGAGGGGCTTTATATTCTTGGAAAGAAATAAAAAAAAAGTATCTACTGATTCAAGAGGAATATAGTGCCAGTCTAGCATTTGATGACAAATTTGCAACCAACTGGTGATAGAAAAGTGAAGGAAAACTAACAAGAAATCTTTTCAGGACTATCTAACTTTGACAATGTGGTTCACAAATGTCACACAAGTATATTTTCTTGGGACCCTCTTGACATCCATTCATTACCTCTTTCATACTTAGATATTTAAAACGATACATATAAAGAATAATATTGGTAAAACATAATGTACATACATCTAAGATATATCTCATCGATGAACCAGTAAATACATAAACACATTTTACCTGACTGGTATGTATAACTACTTCATTTTTCTCCTTATATTTCAACAAAATAAATAACATATTGTTATAAATGAAAAGCAAGTCATAATAGATAAATAAAAAGTAATTCTTTAAATATATTTAATATAAGCGGTTTGTACTTACTTTATGAGAGATGCTGGCAGATTCCTTAAAAAAATATAAATAGTATGTTTAATTACTTATAAACTTGTTATTTTTCCCTTTCTTTGGACTTTTAATTATTCCTGGAGATGAAATAAGGGAAATCAAACTAGGCTTTTTATTAGGTGGCTATATTTATTGGTTCTGTAACAAGACAAAAAAGCTTTAATTTTATGATCTGATCAAAAGGCTGAGGAGAACTTGGGTTACTTATCGCTCATATTAGAAAAAGCTCCTTAAGACAAATCCACTTTATGAAACAAAATGGAAATGGTTACTTAGAGTTTGAGCAAGTACTTCCTTACGTTTCCCCATATTACATTTCCTTTGTTAAATGAAGATACTGGTTTCTATCCTTCCCCCCTACATTAAAGAATTATTTGAAGGACCAAGTGAAATGATATATAAGCAAATACTTAGGGTATATCTGTTAGATCTAAATTAAATTAGTACTTATTTGTCACTATTGCTACTATTGTTATTTGTTATTATATTTGGACTGTCTTACTTTTTTTGTTTGGTTTTGTTTTGGTGAGACAGAGATTTACTCTTGTTGCCCAGGCTGGAATGCAATGGCTTGATCTCGGCTCACCACATCCTCCGCCTCCCAGGTTCAAGCTATTCTCCTGCCTCAGCTTCCCAAGTAGCTGGGATTACAGGCATGTGTCACCACACTAGGCTAATTTTGTATTTTTAGTAGAGACGGGGTTTCACCAAATTGCCCAGGCTGATCTCGAACTCCTGACCTCGGGTGATTTGCCTGCCTCAGCCTCCAAAAGTACTGGGATTACAGGCGTGAGCCACTGCGCCTGGCCAAGACTGTCCTACTTTTAAAGTTAGAACTTTTGGGTGCCTTTTGCCTCTAGTTACTGTACTTTTTTTTGAGAGGGAGTCTCGCTCTGTTGCCAGGCTGGAGTGCAGTGGCGGATCTTGGCTCACTGCAACCTCCTACTCCCTGGTTCAGGTGATTCTCCTGCCTCAGCCTTCCAAGTAGCTGGGATTACAGGCACGCACCGCCCCCCCCCCCCCCAAGTTAATCTTTATATTTTTAGTAGAGACAGGGTTCACCATGTTGGCCAGGATGATCTCGAACTCCCAACCTCAGGTGATCCTCCTGCCTCAGCCTCCCAAAGTGCTAGGATTACAGACGTGAGCCACCGTACCTGGCCACTGTATATATTTTTATCCTGTACCCCTCGCCCCTTAAAAATGCAAAACTTACTAGAGTGGGAACAAAGGGGTAGACACTTGTCTTATGCTGATCCCCTGGGTTCATAACGATATGATGTTGATAAGGAACCTGAAGAAATGGGAGGAAGTTCCACTTCTGATAAAATGGGCTGATTTTGTTCTAGAGAGAAAGGAAATTATGAATATTTATTCCACTATTTTATATCCTTAATGAATCAAAGCAAATGTTAGCAAAACTGAGTGAATTAAAACTTTAATTAGAAAATTTATAAGTTGTGGCAAATTTACTTAGAAAAAGTAATAGTTTAGATACATAAAATTTACCTTAACTGTGTCTACATTTATATCAAATTGCAGAATTGAAAAATTATCAAATTAAGACCACGGGAGAAAGTTATCTATGTAGGGAAAAAAAGTATGTTTAAGAAAGGAAATAAAAAAAAAAAACCAAAAAACAAAAAAAAAACCCCACACAATCACAAGGTGCGTGTCTCAACTTAATCCTTTTCTATGTGTGTTGGAAGTTAGTCTGGTCTTTGGAGTCAGAACTGAACTTTAATTCTCTTTACCCAAGGCACTGGAATCCACGACCCCGATGAAATTGCTTAAACTGTCTGAGCATTACTTACCATGTAGGATTATATCTGTTAAAATATAACGAGAAATTTGCCTAGTAACTAAGTATTCTAGTAAGTTCCAGAGCCTTTGAACTGACTTTACAAAGATTGTTTTTAGGAATTAAATATAAAACCACAACAGCATTTTTTCCTCAGGAGAATTTTCTCTTAATAGAGAGTGAAAAATAAGTGTGTGTAGAAAGTCAATGGGTCTTTAGAATTGTTGGATGGTTACGTTAAGAGAGGTACAAAATGAGAATGCTACTGGAAGTATTTTGACAAAATGTAGGAAAGATATTTATAGCAACAAAGAAGTTAGTAACGATCTAAATTCCTAAAACGACAGGTTTTATTTGGAGCATTCTATTTTTAAGTGTTCAAAAACAGATGTTTCTATTATAAAGGTTTTAGAAAGCATGCCTGTTCTGTGTTGAGATAGGTAATAATTGTCAATTTTTTAGATGAATTTACTGTGTTCCAAGCAATTTTTGTAAAAATTAAATATATGTCATCTAATAAAAATTAAATATATGTCATCTAATACAATCTTGCGGGGTTAATGCAGCTCTCCGCCTTTTCAGTTAAAGAAACTGGAGCTTGGAGAGGTTAAGTAACAACTCGTGGAGCTGGAGTTGGAATACAAGTTGCCTGATACCAAAATCTATGCGCTTTCCCTACACACGCAGCAAACTTCTCTAGTCCGCAGAGGATGGATTACATTAGGAGTCCCCAACCTTTTTGACATCAAGGACCGGTTTTGTGGAAAACAATTTTTTCCACGGATGGGGCGGGGGTATGGTTTGGGGATAAAACTGTTGTACCGCAGATCATCAGGCATTAGAAAGATTCTAGATCCCTTGCATGCGCAGTTCACAACAGGGTTCACTCTCCTGAGAATCTAACGCCAGAGCAGATCTGACAGGAGGCCGAGCTCAGGCTAATGTTACTTTGCCTGCAGCTCACTTCCTGCTGTGCTGCGTGGTTCCTAACAGGCCAAGGACCCGTACGGGTACCCCCTGTGATTTGGGGACTCCTTGATTATATGACCTCCTGTACCTTGAGAATGTTTACACTTCAGATATTGGGGATAAATTTCTCTTTCTCTCTCTCTCTCTCTCTCTCTCTCTCTCTCTCTCTCTCTCTCTCTCTCTCGACGGAATCTCGCTCGTTCGCAAGGATAGAGTGCAGTGGCGTGATCTCGGCTCACTGCAAATTCCGCTTCCCGGGTTCAAGCGATTCTCCTGCCTCAGCCCTATGAATAGCTGGGATTACAGGCGCCCCCCACCACGCCCAGCTAATTTTTGTATTTTTAGTAGAGACGGTTTTTCACCATGTTGGCCAGGATGGTCTCGATCTCTTGACCTCTTGATCTGCCCGCCTCGGCCTCCCAAAGTGCTGGGATTACAGGCGTGAGCCACCAAGCCGGCGGATACATTTCTTAATGGGATAGAATGAATTGTGTGAATATTTGAGAGAAGAAACAGCCAAAATAAGATGTTTTACTTGAAATTATCATTTATATGAGAAATTTGTCAGTTGTTTTACATAGTGCTTCTGGTACACAGTGCGCTTAATTTCCTGGTAAGAAAAAAAAAAAAAATTCTCTAAAAATACACAAAAAGAAAATCCTACTAAGTGGTATTAATTTTATTTTATTTGAATAAAAATTACCCCTGTGAAAACTTCTGCAGATTCCTTTTAGGGGAAGAAAAGAAGAATTAACATTACTTTCATGATTAAGCTTTGGAGTCATGCTAGAATATTAGGGGTAATTAGTTAAATACTCAGAGCCCAAGCCACTACGACTTAAAAATTATGTCATTTATTAGGAATTTAATACATTAATTAAAAATTAAAACATTTATCATCAGAGTCATCACTATCAAAATAGCACATGAATAAAAATGTTTTATTTTAAATTTTTATGAATTTTTTATTATTCATACAATATCAAATGCCTACAGAAGGTGACAAGGGACACAAAATATTATGACACAGGCCTGGTGAGGTATGTGGCAAACCAAGTCGCACATACCCTTTCTGGAGGACACAAATGTTATCTTTAAGTGACTGTCAACTGTCCATTTGAAGGTGATACTTACAGCTTGGAAGAAGAGTAAAGTATGTTTCCTAGTCCCTGACTAGCAAGAGTGCAGGCTGCACATAAGGCCACAAGGTTTGTGGTGCCACCATGCTTCTTCCTTTCCCAGTTACTTTTTCCCATCACGTTTATTGTTTGGGTATTTCTACCATGGCAGGTGTACCACTGATGTACACAACTTCTAATCTAATCCTTTATTTGGCCTCTTATTTTTAAACAAAAGAATCTCAAATTTTAAAGTGCACCAGAATATAATGTTGATGCTGCTAGCTGAGGGGCAACACTTTCAGAACCTCTGCTCTAAGAGATATTGAGAGGTTTTTCAGTATAAAACTATGTTGAAGGCAAATGGCAGCCTCTTGATTTAACCCTGGCTTCCTTTAAAATTCAATTTCCTCTGAAATCAGATGTCTGATACACACTGTCAAAGTGCACAAAACAGGAAACCAATGTTCAGATAGTTTCAATCTCCCTTAAATACCATTGAGTTTGGGTTACAATTTGATGAACAATCTAATTGCTAAAAATCTGCCACATCTTGGTGAAGCTGCTTTTTGATGTTAAAAGAAAATATCTCTTACCTCACTGGAAGAGCTGCTAGAAGGTTGCTTGAGAAATAATATTAATAATCAAAGTTTAGTGACCAGAAGAAATCCCCAGCATTATTTCTTTAATTATACCGGTTGTTTTAGATAGACCTCAAATTACCTATGTAATCATTAGTATGGTAGATTGAAAGTATTGGCATAAAAACAACACATTAGGTTTCTCAACTGTTCATCATTGTTTACCTTTGGAAAATAAATAAGAGATAAAAATCACCTTATTATTGAATGGAAATGTCTCAAGAGAATATAGCGCGATTTAGGTGAGTACTATTAAGGTGGGAAGGGAGAAATTGTTATTTTAAATAAATTCATACATCTCTTTTTAGTTTACTGAGAGAGGAAATTTACAGATATTTCCACATGCCATTGATATTGTAATTACCGTTAAAAATGTGAACAAAAATTTTTCAAGAAAATAAAAATTTCTCACCATTTCATTCATGTTTCTTGTGGTTTCCTTAAATACAGAAGAAAAATAATTAGACTTATTTTCTCCACAGCTTTGTTTATAAAGTATTTTCTCCAGAACAGAAAGGGAAAATTTTCTTTCCCATAAGGAGAATCATAACAATAGAGTCACTTTTATTATATAAGTTTTGTATAGATTATATTAGAATTTCCCATTTAGTAATAAATATACAAGCAGTGGTAAACCGGAATGTGAGAACAATGAGAGGAGGATTTTGCCTGCTGTATTCAGAGTATGCCTCGAGTCTAAGATAGTCTTCTCCAATACATGTTTGTCTAATAAATGAATAAACACACTATTATAATAATTTAGGCATTGCATTGATAAACTTCATTTTACTCATCATGATTCATTAGAAAAAATATATCTCCAGGCCAACTACTATGTTTTTGGTAATGCATATATAACATTTCTGTTATGAAAATATTGATTTAAATTTAAATGAGTCAATTTTAAGAAAAAAATTGCATATCAATCTAAATAGGAGATTAATTTTTTAAGAACAATAATGAAAATTGGGGAATTTTTTGGAATGAAGACCACTAAGTGACAAGTTCTTCACTCCTCATGAGATCTTAGAATTAAGTATATTAGTTGATTTATGCAAAAAATATATATTTTTCAGCTGAATTATTCACAGAATTTTAAAAAGAGAAGGTAACTTTGGTCTCATTCTTTATAAATAGCTTTGGTTTTCAAATATGATTCCTTGGGAAATCCAGGTTAATTTCAATTTGGGTTAAAGTATCACAATATTTTTTGTTTCCTTTTTTGCTATAGATGTGCTATCAATATATACCTTACAGGAAGAAGAACAAATGTCCTCCTGAAAAGAAAGGAAAACGAAGAGGGAATATATAATTCGCTGAAATGAGTATAACATAATTTCACATAAATGGATAGCAAAGGAAACACAACATTGTGAGCAAAAGAATGCAGATAACCATTAAGAATAAATTATTTCAAAGATATCTGTTTTAATAATATAACAACTAAATCTTTTACTAAGACCTTTTTCATATTGCTCCACTGCATTTTGGCAAATCAATGAAAACATCACCATTTTAACAATCATAGCTAAAAGCCTCATTTTTGGTGAGAAAATGACCTATGTTTGATGGAAAAAGAGATGTTATCAAAGATTAATACATTAAAATAATTACATTTTACCTCATTGGGGAAAATGGCCATATTCTTGATCTGCTTACATTTCTACAAACTAAATAAATTTCTTTTATAACCTTCATCAAATAAAAAAGTTAAAATATATTTAATTTAAGGAGTTAGGACTTACTTCCTGGGAGATGATGACAGATTACTTAGAAAAGGAAAAAACAATAATCACTTGCCTAAATTATATTTGTACTAGCTATAAGGTATCAGTTTACACTCAACATCCAGTGGTAAATAACATATTTATATTTTTCTGAAGTATAGGATGAAGTTGACAAAAGTTTTACTCTCCACACAACTAATTTATCATATTTTAAATAACTTATTTTGATATTGTGTTTTGAGTTATTAATAACTGTAACAAAATTTTCCAAAATATGAACCACAAAGAAGAAAAGAAGTTTTTCTATTTCTTCTACATAATTTTAAATTTTCTTCTGTTTTTTAAAGGGGTTAAGCACATTGCAGGAAAAAAAAGGAAAACCCTCAGGCAACACTAAACATGTCTTTTATGCACCCCTGCCCAGAAAAATCATTTGGGAATTAACATTTAATATGGACCCAGAAAAATCATTTGGGAATTAACATTTAATATGGACCCAGATGAATATGATTCCTTATTTCAGAAATGTAGAATGATTTCCTGTCACTCTTCTCCCAAGATGCAGAATTTTCACCATAGTTTCTGAGCTAATATCTTTATCATTGGGAACTATTTAAAGGAAAAAATGCACAAATTTAATCTGGATAATTTGAACGCGTAGATTTTTGGTCTTATCACATATAAAGACTTAGTTTAGGGCATATCATGTGTTTACTAAGTGGAAGAATTAAAATGTCTTACCTCTCTGGAGGAGTGATGCTCCATATGCTATATAAAAAACAAAAAGTCATACAAGTTTCACTTTTATCACTTATTTGAAATGTAAGTCTGTCTTTCCATTTTGTTTCTTTTGTTTCTTGGTGGCAAGGGAATTTTAGTCACCTGATTCTAGGAACCTTTAGCTGTATAAATTTTCTTTGCAAAATTCTCTTGGTTTCCTATAATGTTAATGAACAAATCATTATATACCTCAAGTGAATTCTTGTCATGGTTTAATATATTTCTTTTAGGAAGTAGGTAGGTTCTTAGTTTTTGAGTATTAACTGTTACACAGTTTGAAATATAATTCTATTCGTAAATGTGCCACCAAATCTTAAAGTGTTAAGCCTCTGGTGTAATATTTTATTTTACTTCACTTATAGTGTTAGAATTAAAAATATTGGGCGAGTGCTTCTGTCAAGTGGCATAAATAGTTGAAGATTAATTTTTAAAGTATGAAAACCTGTCATACAAGCTCAATTTTGTACTTATGTTCTCAACAGATTGTGACAAAGTTAGCTTTTAATATCTGTGGTCTGTCACTTGCTAGTGAAGCCACCATATTAGTTGAACAAAATTGTTTTATTTAAATAAAAGATCGAAGGCAGTTATTGACTAGAGAGAACAGGTGCAAAGTCAGAGTAGATCATAAGAACAATCAAGCTTGGTGGGTGTGAGATTCCCAAAGTATTACTATTATTTTTTTATTTACCTAACTAGAATTTTTATCTAGCTTTGCCCATGAATTGGCTCTAAATTTAAGAAATAACAAAAACTTGTCAAGATTTATGTGAGAGATATGAAGACATAGATGAAGCAAAGAACTCTGATCACCCTAAATAAATGGTGTGCTTATGAGG